TACCCTGGGGGTCTTTAAGAAGAGGCTGGATGCCTACCTGGCTGGACTTGTTTGAGTCCCATTTCTCTTTTTGGGGTTTTTTGTTGTTCTCCCGCCCTGGCGGGGGGTCGGGCTAGAAGATCTACTAGGTCCCTTCCGACCCTTAATCTATGAATCTATGAATCTATTGTCTATCACTTTTGTCGAACTGTTAATTTCTTTGAAGGCAGCTTGAATGCTAATATTCCAGAAAATGTGATGGAAGAATATATACAAAGAACTAGATGACAAGTATACAAAAAACCTTAATCTGGAGGTGATTAATGGTGCTCCGATAGGGTAGCAGAAAATGGAGCTGATTTTGTCCTTTATTTATATTTTGAATCTACTGTGTTCTTGATATTTGGGTGCACAGGTCATTGAATATCGAGTTGGCACAAGACTGAAATGTAAATAAGATGCCAGGCTGTGATTTAGCTTCACATGAGTAAAGGGTTAGGAACCTGGCTTAGGCTTGTTTGTGTGTTTAATATCTTGGTGGGCTAAAGAGGATCAATAAGCTTTCTGATTACGATATGACAAAACAGTACTGATGAAAGATGACATTTCAGAATTCTAATAAATTTGTTTGCGTTAAGCATTAAATCTCTGTGTTTAAGATTTCCCCACAGATTAATTGGATCATTTTCTGTTTAGGTTACTTAAAGCTCTGATTTGCTTCTTCAGTGTTCTGGCTTGAAATTATTTCTGTATTGTATTAATCTCGGCATATAGAACAGCATCTCAGCAAAGAGGCAGGTGGGACTCATTTTGGAATCTCTTTGACATGCGCTCAGTCTTTTTTCTTTTTGGGATTTACTATAGAACGAGTAAAATAATTTGTATTACGCTGCTCTCTACAGTATAATGCAGATTGCTGACTTTGAGAAGTTTTGGTGTCTCTTGTTAGGTTAGTGAAGTCCTGACCAGGAACCTATGTGGATTAGATCCCAGAGTGCTATAAATAACATATATACTTGTATTTTTCTGCATGTAAAACTTGTATTTTTATTTCATTTTGTTTTTAGTTGGATTAACATAGGGCATGGATGGATGTATAGCAGTTGTATTAGTATTAAAGGATACCAGGATACGCAACTATGGCACAACTGTTATGTTTGCATGGTTCTGTAGCAGAAACAAGTGTAGCAAACCACTCCATTACCTGTATTGCTACAGGATCATGAAGATGTAGCAGTTACAGCCTAACAGATGATGCATAGTTTTGAGCAGCAGTTAAATCTCCCTTTCAAATAAGCTAAAATGTAAGTTTTTCCCACGCCATAATTTGTCCAAGGGACCATTTCTCTCCCCCTTCCCTTTTTTTTTTTTTTTTCCTTTTCAGTTGTTGGCATGCTCAAGTTTGGAGATGGCAGAGGCAAATATTGCAAATATTCCCTTTAATGGGAAAAGGAGCATTTACTATCTTAATTAATCTCAGGAGGATGTGTTCAGGCTGCCAGTAGGACCATCTAATGAAATGTAGGTCAGTGAAGCATTTGCTCAATCAGGGCAGGTCCAGATGGTTTTTATGGTACTGTTTCTAAGAATATTCCATGTTTTCATGGGAGAGTGGGTAAAATCATTAGATGGCACCAACCTGATCCATCACTGATCTGCTTTAGTCATAAGCTCCAGGTATTGAAAGGATACAGTAAATATGTATGTAGCAGCCATGACACTCTGCAAATCATGAGGGCTTTTTTCTATTCCCCTCCTTCTCCCCTGCAGTTCCAGAGCCTTGGATTAACTTCTGAAAAACTACCCTTTAAGTTCTTTAGAGTCGTAGCTTATAGTTTACTAACTTTTGAGAGGTATTGAGGTCCCCTTTTAGCTATGTGATGTCGTGAGCACAAGCCTCTGTGGCCTCCAAGGACAGATGATCAGATCCCAGAGTGCTATAAATAGTATTGCCTCAACGGCATGCATATA